ACTACCTGGTTAGAGAGAACGAGGGAACAACATACAGTCAAGGAAAGAAGTCAACATACACTCTTCGATTATGGCAAATTTGTTACGAAAAAAAAATGTATGTGAATATTTAAGACATTTGTGAAGAAGTTTATTAGCGAAACCAAAAAGTAATTTATTGCAATAACAAAAATGGCCAAAACAAAAAAAATTTGTCTTCATACAGCTGCCATAAAATTTGGAAAACTTTTTTTTTTAACTAGTGTAGATTGTGTCTTGGACATCAATCACTGCTTGTAGACGTCGGGGCATTGAAGTCACCAAATTTTCATTTACATCGGAAGACATTTCGGCCCAAGCTCGGGTAAGGGCAGTTTTTAGAGTTTCATGTCATATTTGCATATTTTCTGTTTTAGAACGTCTCAAATATATTCAACCTATTAATACGTGATGACTGATGAAGCCAGACTTGAACAATGTGGGTCGTGTGCTTTGGATCGTTGTCTTGCTGAAAATTCCAATGCCTTCCAAGATCCATATATGCCTTCAAATTGTGTTCCAATATGTTTTTATAGACATAACAGTACGTAGTACCCTCTATAAAAATCAAACGTCCTACTCCAGATGAAGCCATGGCACCCCAAACCATTACGCTGCCCCTCCATGTTTGACTGTAGGTATATTACTTGTACTTTTCACATCAAGCGCAGTATTTGGTTTTCTGCAAACACTAGTTCCAAAAATATTATGCTTACTTTTGTCGGTTAAAACAACTCGTTTCTAAAAATGCACACATTTTTGACAAATTTGCCAGATTTGCCAAAATCGCAAAATCAAAAGGTGTATGTAGACTTTTGCCCTTGACTAAATATATGTAATATAGTAGTAATCCTAGTAGATTTGTTAGCAACTGATTGCGGATTACAGAAAACAAATCCCAACATGATCCTAACAAACATAAGAACACATATATTGTATATAAAGGTACAATGCAAAATGCGACTAACTCGCGCATTCTCCCAACATAAAAAGCAAAAAAGCCATAATTTAAATGTCTCGTAATAAATCCCTTGTTGTTATATAATGATGATGTTGTTTTATTATTCAATTAAACCGATGTCAACAAAATGTTTTAATTAATTCGTTTAAGCGCGATGAAAAGGAGACGACAAAAGAGCGAACGATACAGGCGACTGTGAAGGAGTGCAAAAGCAGCTAAGGCCAACGGATAACGCTTGAGGGATACACGATAAAATGGAGAAAAATTAGTATGGGCGCTGCTACAGCAATAACAATGTATATAACTGTAAGTACAAGTAAGTAGTATCCTTTTAAGACTGAGTGCAACACAGGCGAGCCGCTGCTGCTGAATGGCTGCTGGCTGCCGAGTGTTGCGAGCAAAGCTCGGTATTATGCAATTTGCATGTGTGTATGTGAGTATGCTGATGGTTACATGTTGCGCTGCAGCTCCACAGCTGGACGAGAGTTTGCACGCGTAAGTATGTGTGTAAGGGCGTTTGTGTAGATGTGCCCTTGTCTGGTGCATTACACGTAATTGCGATAATGGGCGAGGAAAGTGTAATTGTGCCGTCGCAAATGCAATGAAATACGATTTGGCGGATGGAAAACACCGCAATAGAGTAGCGAATTGCCAGCGTAACGATGAGCTAAGTGCAAGTGCATAAATATGCGAGATAATAAAAATGTTAATGAGTGAGTGATAGAGCCACTACATACATATAAACTGTATCCATATATATCAAATTATTTTTCAGTTTTCCTGAGCTACCGCAAATTTACTTTAGTATGTATATAAGTGTATATTTGCATTTGCAAGTACACCACAAAGTTTAATTACTGTCCTGGCAGCCGACAAGCGCTTGTGTGTGTATATCCATAAGCTTCCATGTACTTCACCGCTTTACATACCAATATGTACAGTTGTATGTTGGCATATACACATGCTCCAATTAAACTATTTACGTAACTAGCCCACATGACCTGACAACGGTGCATTTGGCACACACACACACACACACACACACAACAGAAACAAACAAACTTTAGATGTGAGTTTGAATTAAGCTATGCGCATATAGGCCGCCAGCGAGAGAGTGAGCTGAATACGCGAGTACAGTAGTGTGCCAGTAAGTAGTACTGTTGATGTTGTATAAAAAGAAATGACAATTCAAAAACCTTTAAGGTTCGAGTGATATGAAAGCTTAAATGTTAAAAAAAAACTCGTTCTTAATACCGAAATATGTACTCACCGAACACGCGTTGTGTTCCCCAATTAAATTTTTTTTATTATCTCTTAGGGACAACCTTGGGCCCATTAAAATATGGAAATTCAGCAATTGTCAAATAATGGTACTAAGTAGGCTAAGTAAAGATTTCAGCAAACAAAAGGCCTACTTTGTTTTTAAAAAAATCTGATATTTTGACGTGTGAATATTTGATAAAAACTTTGCGTTTTTTTCGATTTTAAGTCGAAATGAGGTTTCCTTTTTAATATATTTAATTTAAACAATTCCATGTGTTTGCGATCTAAGAAGGTAAGTTTACACCAAATTTCGTGAAAGAAATTATTTTTTGTACCAGATTAAAATAAAAAACTCAAAAACTTGTATATTTGAATTTTTCACAAAAATTTTGAGTTTATGTGAAAAAGATTTTAATACAAAGGTTGTCGATATTTTTATTACCTACAACTTTGTCATATAACATTTTTCTATAGGACTCGTAGTTTTGCCGGCAATCGAGATAAACCGTTTTTGATCCTTAAAAAATTACACTACGCCCCTCCCCTTCCCTTGCCCGACCTCAGATCGCACTTAAATTATCTTTGCTTTAAATTTTTGTTATTTTTTTATCTTTTATTTGCAACGAATTTCAGCCTATTATGAATTTCTCCCATTTTTTACCATTTTTAAAGGCTTCCACACTGGTCCATATGTATATACATGTTTTAGAAAATGAAAACAATTTCATAATAAAACATTTATTAGAATTCCAACGCTAACTAAGCTAAATCTCCTTGGGTTTTCCCTCTAGCTACCAGCCAAAGCAAATTTTTGTAACAAATATCGATATACCGAATTTCAAAACTTCAAAAAAAATAGATTTGAGTTTGGCACCGTAATAGGGGCTAAAATAATAATGGTTTTGAGCAGAATGAACTGTCCAAAACAGCTAGTTTTACTGGTGCTAGATTTGGTTAAAAAAATCGAGTATATACTGATTACATACATACGTATATATTTAAAATTAAATAAATTAAAAATCGTAATATTTTGGGTGATTAAATTCATATTCACTTACAATATTTTCGCCATCAGTGTAAAAACGCAAATCTCTAAGGATATAATAGTCATGTGTTAGTGTATTTCATGTGTGTGTATATACATATGTATGAATGTGCGGATAGCATGTGAGTTTTAATTGAAGTAAGATTACATCAAATCAATAACAGCCGCCACCATCAGCACTAATGCGAGTGAAATTGATGGTGAACCAGTTTTGACTGAAAACCATTCACACATATATACATACAATATACATATATATAATACAATATATCTTTATTAGCGTGTAATACTTAACCTATGGGAAAAATATCAATTATTCAGAAAAAACTAGTAAATTTAAGTTAATGTTATGATAACCTAAGATCTATCTAATATTTGAAGACGACATTATAATGAGATATACATTCGATTCTTGATTATGGAAAAAATATAGAGAAACAAGAAAAAACGTCATATTTAATACCCTTCACAAATACAAAAAATTCCATATTTAAAAATAAATATTTTTATAATATAGATATGCATACATATGGATAAGTGAGTGGCTACCAACACCTCTTCGCTTCATTTTAATATATTTAAGACCAAATTGTTCGAAATTTGACATAAAGCAAAATAATCTAATTTATCGCAGCAAGTACTTAAAATTTTTCTGCAGACATGTCATTTTACATTTCGGTAGCAAAATAATATATGGCATTTGCAATTGATTAACCCATATGTGTGTGCACATGCGTGCATGTGTGTGTTGTGGATTCACTCGAAAACTGACATGGCACACGTTTTCGCTAAACTATGCCAAAGCAAAGTGAATGGGATTGGATTTTCGTGTTTTCCTAAGCACACACGCCGCACACACTCACACAGACACAACCGCCTGAATAGACTCATCATATTTGAAATTACAAATTGCATGCCCCAATGTGCTTGTAACCGCAGCAACAGCGACAGCGATAACAGTTACACAGCAGCCAAGTTTTATGTGATTTTACTCGCGAAAAATGGCTTATCAATTCCGCTTTGCTTGCGTCCGCCACTGCTGCGCCCAAAATGCCGCACACAATAAAGCTTCGGAGGAGCACAAAGCAAAAGTAACATTCGATGACGTCGACGAGTGTGAGTGCACATGTGTATGTGTGTGTGCATTTGCGGTCGACCACTTGTAAAAAGAAATTCTCGAAATAGCGGCGCGCACAAAACCCACAAATGAAATGAAAAAATTCGAATTATGTACAAAATAACCACTCATTTTGAAATAATTTTTCGATTTTAATTTGTATTTTAATTTTTTTTATTATTTTTTTTATATTTTTTCTTTACAGTATTTTCTATTTTCTTAGTTTTCCGCGCTGCCGAAGCAACTTAGCGCTTCTGGTGGGTCCTAAATAATATTTAGATATAAGTGTATGTGTGTGCTCCACGGCATGTCAGCCGAGCGAAAGAATAGGCAGCAGAAGCCAAATGGCAATAAAAATGAGCCACTTGATAAAATAGAATGAAACAATTTTTACTTTTAGTGTAAACAAGTCGACATTTTGTAAATGTATGTCGGTGTGTGTATGTTTCTATGAAGGTATGTGCGTTTGTGTGCAGGTACACATGTTTGCTTGCATCATGCTTCTTGTACGGCATTGTGATTTTTGTGAATTGCTTAGCTGTTGCCCGATGCCATCACCGATCACCGTTGCCAACGCGCTTGCTGGTTGGTGGCATTGTCGCCTCTGTTTGCCTTACATACAGCATTGACTTGTTGTTGGTTTTGTTGGATTTTAGCATTTGGCCACACGCCAAAAGTAATGCTAAACGAAGTAAACGTATCGCACAATCGCAACAATATTTCCCCGGGCCGAGAGCGCTGAGACGGAACGCTCCTCATATCAATAGCAGCCGCAAGCCCAGCAACAACTACTTAAATTAATATAATATACAATATTATACAAATCGAGTAACATTTAGTAATCCAAGTAGTATGTATCCATCAACGGGCAGCGGCAATCTGACCAGGCGTAAATGGGTGAGTGGTGAGTGAATAAGTAGTGTGTGCGCAAATTGTCAACATACTGCAAATTAAGTGGCGGAAGAGCCCCTGTAGGGCATGGAGAGCATTTCACACTTTAAATCATTTTTGAGCAAAAAGTGGCATCTATGATTTTAAAAAGTGGGCATGGCCCCGACCTCTAATAAGTTTAATGTATATATAACCAAATTCGTTCAGGGCAAATATTTTGTGAAAATGGGTGAATTCGGATTATAACCCCGCCCACTCCGCATATAACGGTTTGGTTAAAAACGACTAAAAGTGCGATAAACCTATAACTAAATGTACCCGAGATGGTAGAATAGAGCTCAAAAGAAGCTGGTTGCAAAACTGTACGATGGGCACATTTAAGTGGAAACTTATATCTCGGGACCTATTCTACCGATTTAAACTTAATTAGGTAGGTAATATTATGCTGACATTCTTATGTACATTACACCATTTTAAATTCCGTCTAACTCTTTCACTTTCCAGTATACCGAATATGTGGACGCCCGTTCCAATTGCGTCAAACATTTGTTTATTTAAATTCGAAACAAATTTTCCCTGGCCTTTATCTTGCAAATTGCAAGAGTATAAAATGTTCGGTTACACCCGAACTAAGCCCTTCCTTACTTGTTTCTTAATTTTTAATAGTTTGGGGTAAAAAATTTAATTTTTAATTTTTAAAACCGGTTTTGGGACTAGAATTACAATAGATTGTGAAAATTATGTTTAATAAAGATTTTTGGGATTACAAAATAAAAATAAATAATACAATACAATAATAATTTTAATATTAATTCAATTATTTTTATACATAATTAGCAAACCTGCATATATGGTAGTAGTACTCCTTAAAACTATTTTTTTTATTAAAAGCTTTCTTAAACGTCTTTAGTTTCTCATAGGTATTGAGTGGTTTCTCAACTTTAGCCATTAAAAAATTTTAATGTTTAAACAATTGGCAACTCCAAAGCAATAATTTTTTATAACTGTAGCATTTTTTAAGCCATTTATAGCCATATTGTATTATTTTATTGAATCAAAAAACTTACACATGTGGCAACATTCCTCAAAAAATATGTATTTCTAACGGTTTTTCTTCTTTCAGCCAAGTATTACATATTTATGTTAGAAGACATAAAATTTAAAACAATTCAGCCGTCACTGGATAGCTCTCAATACTTTGTGATCGTTACGAATTTTTGCTGCGTAATCCATTTTCGTTACAGTGAATGATTTTGCTAACGAGATCATCAGGTTATATTCAATTCTTCTTTTCTACATACCATACAACTCCCGCTGATTATATACTGTTTCAATAGCCAAACAGCTGATACGGAAGAAGTCATAAGCTCACTAAACCGAAGGAATACAATAATCTGTTTGAGAAGTTCCGCTATATTTCATATATTGATCATTCTGCTTTCCTCTTTTTTCAAAGTTTCAAAGCTAGCCAGAAGAACTTTAAGGAACTCCTTACTAGATCAAAACGTTTTTTGAACACCCATTCCCTCGAAAATACAAAGATGACTAGAAGAACTAGGGAACTATTTTTAGCCTCTTTCAAACAAGCGATATGTTTAATTTCCCTACAAGGATGTAAGCTCACAAGCGAGTAGCGCCAAAGCATAAGCGAAAAGTGAATATCTCATATAGTGAAATTGGAAGCAGGTTAGCGTAAAAATAGCTACGCAAAATGTGAAAACGCACAAAATAAAAAAGCCGTTAGGACAATAGCCAAATGAAAATGGGTGAAAAATGCGCTAAAATTGCGAAATTGTTGGGTAAATGAGAGAAACTAACACAATTATACGGGGGAAAGAAATTGAATCAAATCAATCAAAATAATAGAGCGATTTGAGTGATGTTCACCCAAGGCAATCTTTGCGAATACATAAGGAAACTCACATATGTTCACATACGAGTGCATAGACGAAGGCACACTCGATAATGATCACTGAAATTGTCAGGTAACTTAGTCAGCGTACTAGTCGCCACGAGATGGATTTGCGACACAGGTGAGCGTGACAGCTAATCAAAGCATTCTGTTGTTGCCTAGTAAGAGAATGTCATCAGATGGTCACGCTACTAACGCCAGACACAGTGATGGTCATAAAAGTGCTGCACTTGTTGCGGTTGTGTGCATAAATTCATAATAAACAAATTATGAATCATACAGTTGTTGCAAATATTTATTTGTCTTAACTAATTGCCTAGAAAATAAGAAACTTACTCACTTCTTCGTGCACAGGTGCGTATGATGAACATTGCAAGTACTTGTACGTGAACTCAATGTTGCGGTGGTGATGTCCGAATGAGATATAAGCGAAGAGCAGAGTTATTGCTCGTAAAGAACGTCTTTAGTTCGCTAATTTGACCTCGGATTGTTTAGGCCAGACCCGTCTTCAAAAAAAGGCAACAAAATTTTAGTTCGCCTAATACACAGCTCTACAAGCACAAACTTTTGTTGCCCTGGATATCTTAGCACACTTTGTTGCTTTCAAGTGTCCAGATTACAAATTTGTTCATAAAAATATTGAGCAAATTCTTTTATGATAATTGCATATCAAATATTTTCATATTTATTGGCTTTAAAATAATACAAATTCAGTTTTTCAGTCATGATTAGAATTCTTCGCACCGTTTTCGCGCCCTCCTTACCGAAAATATGTGAAAAATTATGCGCCAAGTTTTAAGGTTTTATTAAAAATCAAACGTGGATATATCTAGAGTTACATTCTATAAAATTTGCTCTTTTATCCAATGAAAATCTCGCTTTCGGTTTAAAAAGTAATTCGCATGGACTACGTAGAAACAATGATGCTGCCAAATTTACAGTAATCGGTACAGTCAACCAATGAAAGTGAATAAGAGGGTGAGCATCTATACCAAAGTTATTTTCTCAAAATAAACTCAGTGATTTAATCCGTGAACAAGTTAGGAATAATTAAACAATTAGTCAAAACGTTGGACGTGGAAGGATATTGTTTTAGTGACATTTGTAGCAAATTTTCGAACTAAGTATGAAAAAGCTGAAAGGTGGAATATTTGATGTGGAAATTACTGAAAGATCCAGATTTTATCAAAGTTATAACTGTTCCATAATTTTAAGCTAAAGGTTTTGTGCTGATAGTTGAAAATTTCATAGGCAACCACTGATCACCAAATATGCTGACAAACTGGAGCTATTTCTAAGAGCGAATTTGAGTATCAAGTTAAACTAGCTCCGTAGTAATATGGATAAATGTTGGGATAATTTTGGAAATTATAGCAAGGAACAGGGAAAGCGATTCAACTGGCATATAAAGGGATGAAAGAAAAATATCAATGTCGATGGCATCGTCACATGATGGCAGATTACTGCTTGTTCTTAAGAAAGTATGTCGACACAAAATTATTAAAGAGAAGCTCATCAAAGTCGTTTTATTGGAATATAACTAATGTTTTCGACATTTGCTTTCTGTTTACTTCTTGCATCATTATTTGTCAAAACACAACTGGCATTATAAGGATTTTAGTTATTTTGTTTCATTACTTTTTGGATTTTGTAAAGCTAATTGTAAACAAAGATTTAAAAATAAACGAGATAAAATCTTACAAAACCATTGATAGTTTCATGAACTGTGGGCACAAATATATTCAAAATCGATATTATGCCTAGAGCAACAAAATCATTATAGACCAGTATTATTTGTATTATTAAATTTAGGGAAAAAGTTACTCAGTTTTTGAGATACAGATCTGAAATTTTTGCACTCGCTTATTTCTCCTTAAGAATCTGCCCAATTTTCGGAACCGTCGATATTGGAAAAATGTACGAGCCATACGAACTGACCGATCAAAACTAAGCTCTTGTATGGAAAACTTGTTTATTGAACAAGATATCTTTAAAAAATTTGCCTCAGATCATTGTCCAAGGCAGCGCTACAATCCTCCAGCGAATTGTTCAGATCGGATAACTGTAGAATATAGCTGCCATACAAACTGATCGATAAAAAACAATATAAGTTATTTTCATACCCTTTATGCTATTAAAAATATACCTGTGAAAGGTATTTTAACTTTGGTGGAGGTTTTTACTTGTTTTTTTTACTGTTTTCTATTAGGTAAATTTTCCTCTCTAAAGCAAAATTACAGTCTCTTTTAATATTTCTAATCCAAATACTTTATCATTTCGACACTGTGTACTGTAAGTTTTAAAAAAATTTCGGACCACCTTGTACACAAATATATATTATATTTCCATTTTCATTTTCCTATTCTGGAAGTTTCAAATTTATCTATTAAGACTCACGCGATCACACTGAGCATGATAATACAACAACTCACCCAGATTTTTTTTTTTAAATTTTGTTATGCTCATTTGTTGTGATTATTTTGTGCTCATTTGTTCGTCTGCACGAACATTGGAGGTGCGAATAACGCAAAGAATATGAAGCTAATAAAATGCTATATCGTGCGATGGCGTTAAATGTTTTGATAATAATATGTTATATTTTGACGACGTTCATCAACATATTCATATCTTTCTTCGTATTTTGTGTGAGTGTGTATGGTTTATTCATTGGTAGTTCAGTGGCCTTAACAGAGTGGGTTGCAACAAAATAAACTTATGGAAAAGTTATAGTTTTCGATTGCTAAATGTTTTGGAAACGCTAAAAAAAATGTGAAGGTCGAAGCGTCTTCATAAGAAACTCTTTCGCAGCTGATATAGAAATGTGAGAGACATTTTTTATAACAAAAAAAATTGTCTTTTATTAAACTACTCAATTTTCTTAATCAACACACTCCATTACAACTGAACAAATCGATTTATATCGAATTATGTTTGAGATACAACTTCTGCCTTTCATGCCAAATTTTTTTCAGTTTCTGAAAATCAATTTTGGAATTCATTCGAAAAAATAATTTCTCCTCATTTTCAATTTTTTTAATTTCTCGCGGAATTAATTTAATATTTATTATTTGGCAAAACATTAGCAAGAAACAGGCAAAATGGTTGGCGTAATATGTTCGGCAATACCACCGGTGGATGCTGCCTCCAGATTATCCTTTATCAAACCAAATAAACCCTATAGCTCCTGCACACTAATCGGCAATTGGTACAATGACCGCATAAACAACGAAGTAAAGAAGTATAATCCAATCAACACTTCACCCATCACCACAGGTTCGAGATCCACCGCTCAGACTAGTTATCGGGTACACTACGCACATCCAAAGGAAATATTTCGCCCAGATGCACCCACGTTCGAGCAGCAGAGGGCGCGCTATAAGATTAATGTGCACAAAGGCAAGGATAGTAGTGTTTTGATAATGGACTCGAAGAAATATTTATCCAATTACACCACGCTAAATGATATCAAGTACAGACTGCAGCCGCCGCAGGACAATTGGTCCATGATCACAGATCGGCCGGTAAAGGCGCTGCCGAAAGAGAACTTGCTAGAAAGTTATGGCAATAAGACCAACTTCGGCTTGCGCCATTGGTTAACGCAAATACGAAATCAAGCCAAATTGTATCGCTCCGATGACACGACTTATGCGGATGAATTTCGACATCCAAAGCAGCCTAAAAGAAAGGATGTGCATCATTGCAAATGAACTGAGACATGGTGAAGTATTAATCTATGGGCGTGGATTGTAAGTGTGAAAGTGCTAAAGTTATTGTTTACAACGAAAATTAATCAAAAATTAAGTAAAAAAAGTATAAGACTTAAAATTGAAACTACAAAAATTACAAAACATAAAATTTTTAATAAAAAATCAAACAAAATTCAAATAAATA